CTTAAACCCTCCAGTTCATCCTAAATGGTTCTTCATTTGGTTTCATCCCAGTCAATGTTTATCAACTTTGCACTGTCAACAGACCTCATTCTTTGCATTCACAGCCTTCAGACATATCTTTATCTTGCTAACACTTACACGCGTTCTTAACTTTATGCACACAAGCAACTCCTTTCGTATGGGAGGAGGGGTATTTGTATCTGTAAAACTAAACACATGCAGAAAAGTTTGCAGGATCAAGGCAATGGAGAGCACTTCACTATCCTAATTTAGGGGAACAAAAAACAGGACTATGTAGCACTTTAAAGACGAACAAGATGGTTTATTAGGTGATGAGCTTTCGTGGGCCAGACCCACTTCCTCAGATCTAAGGAAGTCTGGCCCACGAAAGCTCATCACTTAATAAACCATCTTGTTCGTCTTTAAAGTGCTACATAGTCCTGTTTTTTGTTCCCCTAAATTAGGGGCTGATTCCAAACCTACTGAAGTCAAAAGAATCCTTCCCACAGCCCACTCACTGCATCCATATAGAATTTGGCCACATGCATGCTCAAAAAACACTAGACTTCCCTGCAAATTAAAAACTTAGTCACTCCTAATTAATTGCTTTTGGTGTTTTGACAAAACTATATTTTGAAACACCCAGGATGCAAAGTCCATTAATGATTATGGCAGGTTATGTATCTTAATTATGCAATTTGGGGCATTTACAGTAATAAGGATACCATAATAGGGCATGTGATTACACAGTGTAATAATCTGTGTAAAATTGAGATGCATGAGTTTAAAAATTAAAAGCTACATCAAGGCTATTTCTACATTCACACCCACAAAATGTACCTTTAAAGAACATTAACCTTGGGTCAAATATACTGATGTCAAAAGCAAGTAATGCATAATCATACTTTGTGCCTCTGCGGCACCAACTTATTATTTTTTATCACTAAGCACTTTATAAACTTTAAGTAATCCTCAATACTCCCTCCATTATGAACCAGAGATCCTTCCTCACCATGGAAATGCAGCCACCTCTGAGGCTATGCCTAGACTACAGGCTTCTTGCACAAGAAGCTTTTTTTTGGAAGAGAGCTTCTGAAAAAACATCTTGCGCAAGAGTGTGTCCACACTGCAAAAGCACATTGAAAAAGCGATGCACTTTTTCAAAAGATAGCGTCCAGATTGCCTGGACACTCTCTCGAATGCAAGCTGTGATTACTGTGGATGGAGTGGCCACCAGGGCACCTGTGCTTTTTCCTCGTCTCTCTTCTTCCGAAAAAACTCCCTCTTCCCCGTCCACACACGCCTTTTTGCAAAAGAGCTCTTTCGCAGAAAGGCTTCTTCCTCGTAGAATGAGGATTACCAATTGCAAAAAAAGCTCTCTGCTCTTTCGATTTACTGTCGAAAGAATGCACTTGCCGTTTTGTCGGCCATTTTTCCAACAATACTCTGTAGTCTAGACATAGCCTGAACGGTTGTGGCAGCTGTTTGACAGCCCATAGCAATGCTGCATAGTAGTTTCAGAAGGAGAATAATGGAGAATGATTTAGACTCATAGACTTTAAGGTCAGAAGGGACCATTATGATCACCTAGTCTTACCCCCTCTAGATTATACAACTAGAGAAAAGTTTAGGGAGACACAATTGTATAACCCAACTTGAAATTTTGGCAAGGACACTTGGGTTCACACTAGGCCTGTCTGAGCCATTCGGCTGGACCCACAAAACCTCACACAGAATTAAGAACCCACATTGATTCTATCACATTTGTTTGCATTAGTCCAGGGTCATGAACTATTAACTAGAGCAGGATGATATTATTGGTCAAACGTTGTGGGGGGTGTTTTGCTTTGGGGAGGGGGGATTGTTGGGTTTTTTTGCAAAAAAGGCAGATTCAGCAATGCCAAAACATGTTGCAAAAGACTGGCAATTTTGTTGAATTGTGTAGGCCAAATGTCCCAAAAAAACCCAAATATTTTGTTGGGCCATTTTCAAAATGATTTTTTTTAAAGTGAAGTGATTTTTAGTTTAGACATTTCCTTCCGTTTAATTAATTTTTTAAAAAAGTTTGAAAAGGCTCAAACTGGAAAGATTTCATTGGGGGCTGAATGAAATATTTTGGTTGACCCCCCCAAATAAATTTTTTCTTTTTGTTTTGATGAAAATTTCAAAAACAAATTGTCATTACATTGACTCAGAATAACCCCCGCCCCTGATTTTTTTATTTTTTTATTTTTTTTAGATCCAGAAATGGCTCAGGATAGCCACCCTGGGGGACAAGCAGACTTAGATTTGAGGGGTTCATTCAAACCTCAGCTCGAGCTGTATCATCCACTCTGCTATTTTTAGTCAGATAGGTTGAGCGAAGCTCTCACAAATCTGTCTTCCTCTTCTGGGAGGCAGGTGCTCGCAGTTGACTTCAGTGGACTTTGGCTTGGACCTTGATCTCTGCAATACCATCAGTCCCTTTTTCTCCTCCTCCATAACTGATCATTTTCAAACCTTTACATTTTACTCCTCAAGTTTCTTTTCCTTGGTCCTAACCATCATTTAAGGAACAATTGGATCTTGTTAAAGGATTTTACCTCGCAGTGCCTCCTTCCAAAGCAGATGCAAATTTATACAATCCCCTTTGCCCTGAATCCAATCAGAGCGGAGACAATTGGCATGCTTATTCCATAGCATCTGCTTGACCGATAGACGGCTGCACTGGCTGCATTTGCAGGATCAGATCTTAAGGCAGTTGTTCCTATTAAAACTCTTTGCAAAAGCATTCTTGTATTAATTTGCTAACTCACTTCAGAATATTGTTACTGTTCTGTTCTTTTCTGGTCGTCCAATGATAGATTTTAAAAGACGCACAACACTTGATCTTGGTTACTTTTATTCAATACAAACATTTGTACTGCTGTAGCACTGAGATAACGAGGCAGGAGGGGCTGTGGACATCCCTAAGATCAATAAATAGATAGCATCTTGCAGGGAAGGAGTTTCACATTCTTCACTGACTTAAATGGAACTAGCTCAGCGATGCTGTGTAAGGTCACTAGGTGTCACTATCCCGCTTTTACAGATGGGGAAACTGAGGCACGGAGCAGTAAAGTGACTTGACCAAAGCATGACAGCTGACCTCATGTGGCTGTACATCAGGTTGGAGACTCTGGGTGCTACTGCAATGGAAAGATAGTTCAATAATAATGCAGCAGGAGAGAGATGCACAGAGACTAAGAAGGGTTGTGTATGTGTGTGTGTGTGTGTGTGTGTGTGTGTGGAGGGGGGGCATAAGTCGTGTGGCTGCCAGGGGTTTGCTTGGACCACGTGCTTGCTGGTGGATTCTTAACCTTTCCTAAGTCGCGTGGCTGCCAGGGGTTTGCTTGGACCCACGTGCTTGCTGGTGGATTCTTAACTTTCCTCCCGCTGCCTTATACCCATTATGCCAAGCAGAGAGTCCCCAAGGCAGAAACTTACTCCGCTCACACCCCTCTCCATCCCCAGCCACTCCTCACATGCTCCGAATGCCCCAGGTACCAGGTGCGTTTGTGAGTGGGAGGGGGAAGGACACAGGAAGCTCTAAGGAAAGTGGTGGCTGTTTTGTGTAGCCAGTGCAAAAGGGCCACAGAGCCAGGCCGAGCAAGCAGCTGATCTCGGGGCTGGGCTCGGTAGCGAGGGCCAAGTTCTCCTCACTAGTGTTTGCCATGGAAACTGCAACCACATTGGGTGTGGGCTGGGACATGGGGCTATTTTGGGAAGCGTCCCTGTTCTCTAGCCCTTTAGCATCTTCGCGGGCTGTTGGAGCATGCCAGGCCTGGAGGATGAATTGGTCCCTTTGCTCACTGAAAGGGCATGGCCCAGGCATCAACAACGCTCCCCCCCTTTATGCCCTGCAAGTGTGGCTCAGCCCTGGCCTGCCAACGGGGGTGGTGGGTGCAGTTCAGCTGGCTGCATTGCCTGTGACCCTGCTCTGCCTTACAGCCATCCTAGGATTGCATCAGTGTCAATCACAACACAATCTGGAGGCCTCTCAGTCTCCCCCTCTCCCCCTTCACGCTCTATAAACCTCCCAGGAGTGAGTTCCCTTTGCATTGTTTTTTTCTGTTGCCTTTCGGATGCATCATCCACCACGCACGGTGGAAAATTGCGGTGTCCCAAACTTTACTCCAGCCACGGCCACTTTCGCGACTTCCCGGGAGCCTGAGGCCTGCTTTTAAGCCGCCCCTAAATTTACATGCATTTAAATATTTTCCGGTCCAAAAAATATTTCCCTCCCCCCCAAAAATGCACCCACCCAACCGACTATTTGCAACATCTGTGGAACTGCCAGCGAGAGGCATTTGCCAGCTATGGAAATATAATTAGCCAGCTTTCTCCCGCCCTGCCCTGCAAGGATGAAAGGCCACAGGCTACTTTTTAAGTAGAGAGGGGCTTGAACTACAGATAAGAGCCCCTTCCACCCAGTGTGGCTTCAAATGCCATAGTTGGATCATCTCTATCACGGGCTGAATAGAACCTTGCAACTGGATCTCCTGGCTCTGAGCAGGCTCTGAGTTCTGTGGTGCAGGTGCTGGGAGCTGCCTTTGGCCCTGGAGCATAGGACCAGAGGAGAAGAATCAGAGATGGGGTTCTGAGCTTCCTGTCAGACCCTCGTTTGCACTGTGTCTCTGTCAGGCAGCACCAGGACGACAGGGAAGAGGGTCCCTCTGGCGGAAGGGAAAAGCTGTAACTCCTTGATTCCGAATCGCGGCGAGACGTAGTCGGCCAGGAACCGGAGGTGGAACTGGCGGCTGATGCAGTAGACCAGGTTCTCCACGACGGCACACTGGAAGCAGGCCGGGTAGGGCATGCGTCGGGTGGCGCACTCGTACCAGAGTTTAGCTTTCGGGCTGCAGCGGTGGACGCTGATGCCCATGCTGCGGTTGAGGTCGAAGCGGTAGATGAATCCCCCGGCGGTGACCATGTCCGTGGTCCTGTCCTTGCTCCCGCTGGTGAGGCTGACCTTCCAGCTGTCCGAGCGGCTGACGTACCGCAGCAGCATGTAGCGCAGCGTGCCCCCCGTCACGTAAATCTCCCCGTCACACACCGTCGCGGTGTGGGCCACGGCAAAGGTATCGTTGGGCAGCGGCGCGATGAAGGTCCACCGGTCGTGGCGGGGGTCATACCTCTCCACGGTATAGAGGCACTCTCCCCCGATGGCATAGAGGTACCCATCCAAGGCTACAAGCTTGCAGTGAGGCCTGGCCTGGTTGAGCGGGCAGATCTCCTGCCAGATATTGGTCAGCGGGTTGTAACAGAAGACCCTGTTGGAAGATTTTTGGTGCCGGCCCAGCCCTTCGCAGCCGGCCACCACGAAGAGGTAATTGAACATGCTGCAGACGGCACAGCCCCTAGACACAGTCTCCATGGGCATATGGGACAGATGGTGCCAGACATCACCTTCGTCGTCATAGTAACAGAGCCTGCTGGTGTGCAAATTACACTCCTGTGTGCTGACGTCTGCCACGGTGACGTACTTCCTGCCCTGCATCCTCCTCTGCAGGATCAGCTCCCGCTCCCTGGCATTGAGGCGCCCGTAGATAGACTGGGTCTTGAGGACCTGGAGGTAGTTGTCACTCATGACCTTATAGGCTGCCTCCTGGAGACTGTCCAGTCTCTGCTTCTTGGCCAGGCACAGAACGTCGTAGCAGTTGCCCAAGTCCAGGTGGACGTCCATGGCAGATTGCAAACTTACTGGGACTTTGAAGAAGTTGGCACCAGCAACCAGTTCCAGCCTGGGTTGGTTGTTTGCATCAGGCTGGAGGCTGGGAAAAGACTCCACTCCAGGAACAATGGCGCCCAAGCAGAAAGGGCTGGCAGGGGGAGTACTGGAAACAGAGTTTCTGCTGGCTGGTGTCAAAGTGTCAAAGCCCCGAACCCCTCCATCTGCACCTGAAATTCGGGATGATCTGCAATTTGGTGGAAACTCCCTTTCCTGCCGAACCTGCGGTCTGGTTCAGCTGCCTGTGAGAAGGAGCTGCCCGGCTCAGAGGCAGCCCCCCCGTCGGCAAGCTCCCCGCTCTCCGGGGGGTGTCTGAAAGGCAGGAGACTGGGAGAGAGAGGGGGGGTGTTTGCTGCTGGGGACACCCTGCCTTCATCTCCCACCACCGACTCGCTGGCTGGCTGGCGGGGCATCGACAGGGGCGGCCACGTCTCCTCATCCCGTAGCTCCGTCTGGGTCGTGTCGGGGTAGGGGAGTGAGCCGGAGTACGAGCGGGGCCGCTCCTTCGACACGGACTGGGAGGTGGACTGGATGTAGTAGTCATAGACTTTCCCGCGCAGGCTAGTCGCAGAGGGTGCGGGCGGCCACGCCTCGTCTTCCCGGGGCCGCCTCTCTTGAATATAGTTCTCCTCCACCTGGATCTTCGCAAAGGAGGAGAAAGTGTAGGAGGCCTCTGAGCCATTATTGCTTTGGTTGATTGCTAAGCCCATGTCTGATTTAGCCTGCAGGGTCTGAATCCTCTCCTGGCCAGGCCAGGCCGTTTGCTTCCAGGCCAAACGCTCACTCATGGCTCCTGCTTCCTCCTCTTCGGGGTTTGGAGTGGATCTGCCAGCTGCTGTGAGCTCAGCAGCATTTCCCAGTCTGGCGCCGCAAGGGTTGTGCCGGGGGCTGAGGCAAACCCCAGGTTGCTGCGAGGCTACGTCCTGGCTGGCCCCACTGCTGCCATCAGCTTTGCTTGCCAGACCAGCAAGGTCCTGCTTACCCCCTGCACCTGTTCCTGCCTCCGGCGTCTCCTGGTCTGTGCCGTATGCTGCAGCCACCAGTCCCGCACTCGGGATTACACCTGGACTCTGCCCCTTTCCATCTGAAACAGGAGGCTTTTTGTGTGGCTGGGATTGCGAGCCCAGCAGATAAGCCTCCTTTCCCTTCTCTTTCTCCGCCCCATTCGGCAGCCTTTCATCCCCCTGGGGAGGGGAGCTTTGCGGGCCCTTTGTTCCCAACACCGCCGTCCCACCCAGGTGCGCCCTTCGATTCACTTGGCCGCTGCCTGGCCTCGCCCCACAGCTATTGACTTGCCTGTGCCTGAATCCCTGTGGAGTTTCTTCTGCACCTCCCCTTCCGGATGCAGCCTTTTCTCTCTGCCCCATGGCATTGTCAGCTTCCATGAGCTCACTTCCCTCCAGGCTGCTGGATGGTCGGGCCTTATAGAATCGATACGCCGCAGTCAGGAGGAGCAGAGCCACCGCGGAAAGCGCCAACTTCCCAGCGAGCTGCATGTCCGTCTGCCAGTCCCGGCTGACTTCAGCCCCGTTGGGCATGTTTCCATCACAGGCCAGCAGGCAGGAATGTGAAGAATCTGACTAATAATTGACAGGTGGGGACTCGCTTAAGGCAAAGCAGGCCTCTCTGAGCTCCCTGGAGGAGTTAGGGACAAGGTGACTTTCACCTGCACCAGGTAGACTGGCCCCGGCTTCCAGCTGGCAGCTGGAACACCCAGTGTCTGCTTTCCATAGCAGCTTTGCATATTTGAGCAAGGTGGGCTGGGCTGGGCTCAGGTGAAAATGTGCATGCCAGGCAACAGACGGCAAGTGATACAGAGCTGGCTATATTAGCTGGGTAAACAGAGAGGCTTAGAAAAAATACCAGGAAGTTGAAAGGCAAAAGGGGAGGGAGGGTGTGTGTGTAAAAATAGCTTCCCACGCCAGCCCACAACTTTTCTCTGCGCCTTTAAAGACAATGAAAATTGTCTGCTTGTTTTCAGCTTCTCAGGAACATTGGAGCTGGGGAGGCTATTTAAAATCCCGGGATAGTGGGAGGAGTCCTCAAAAAGAAAGCAAGTCATCTCAAAAAAGATATTTTGGCCTTGGAAAGGGTTCAGAAAAGGGCAACTAAAATGATCAGGGGTTTGGAACGGGTCCCATATGAAGAGAGGTTAAAGCGACTGGGACTTTTCAGTTTAGAAAAGAGGAGACTGAGGGGGGATATGATAGAGGTCTATAAAATCATGAGTGGTGTGGAGAGGGCAGATAAAGAAAAGTTATTTATTAGTTCCCATAACAGAAGAACTAGAGGACACCAAATGAAATTAACGGGTAGCAGGTTTAAAACTAATAAAGTGTTTCACGC